TATAGACGTCATGTAGCTACTTGTATGAAACTTGAAGTTCACGACGCAATCGTGCACTGTAAAAGAGCCAAAGGTGAAGAAAGCAGAACCAGGCCCAACGGTAGAAATTGTGAGAAAAATGTATCAATCCGGACGTGCGCATGGAGAACACGATACCAGAGCGAAATGGGGGCCGGGCATGGTCCAGATCACAGACGAAATATTCACGGGGTGTCAGGATTTTGGAACCAGATACCATGATATCCGGATCAACCAAGAGTGCTATGTAGATGTCCAGATAGTAGGACCAACATAGCAGAACCGCCCAGAGTTGTGAAGGAGATGGGGCGGCGAGTCCAGATGGTGAAGCGCGCGGTTAACCGAGTTAGGAGAGGGGAGGATTCAGTAATTGGGATCAGGATGGAGAACGGGAGGAGTTAGGTAGTTACAGCGCGATGTGCACAGGTGCCGGGGGATTGGGAGGATGAGGGGGTGCGGCATAGACAGTCTGGACGTAGCGGGCGTTGTGAGCGACGTCCAGATGGGAGCAGGGGGCGGCAACGAGAAAGCGGGGAGTTGGGGTACCAGGGCGCCGCGGCGTCGTGTCCTGAGTAATGGTTTACATCCTGTGCGTCCTGTGCGTCTGACGTACAGGACATACAGGACGCAAGCATCTTTTTTTGCTGATGAAGGTGGAGGAGGGACAGAGGGCTGGTCTGTAGTATAGGTAATAGGAGGTGCCAGTGCTGGCGGGGGAGTAGTAGGAGCAGGCTGAGATAGAGTAGAGGCGCGGGAGGCATTGAACTCCTCAGTGCCGGTGGTAATGTGCTCCGTTAGCCCATTGGTTGCCTTCCTATAGTCTTTGTGCAATATTTACAACATGTGGATTACGACAGGAAAGGCTCTTCCAAAAGTGTAGGGTGATGGGATCTCGTCCTTTGCTGCCAACTCTTCAAACATGCTCATGAAGGCGCCATACGGGCTGCCTTCAAAATGGTCTGCTGAGTATTATGTTAAACTTGTGGTGGTAGTCCTGCGTGGCTGTTTAAGCGATGGGGGGCCCTGAGGCTGGAAGATAGGTGATAACCGACCCTGCGAAGCCCCGTCAGGCTGCGTAGGAGGTTGCGGAATGAGAGGGGGTAATAACCCCATGATGAAGGTGATGAGGAGAAACTTTGATCCCGGTTGGGCCAAAGAGATGGTATCGTAGTAGATAAGATAATTCCCTGAAATGTAAGAAAGGGTGTCCGAAGGAGATTACCAGATTGCGTAAAGAACATGAAATATAAGGAGACACACCTTCTTATATCGATATGAAACCCTCCGTGATCAGTAATACAAAAGAAAGTTCTTAGCATCGCGCGCAGCTACGATCTTTCTGTCCGGTTCCACTAGTTTCCGTCACGTGGCAACCTAACCCAATCATAATACAAAGGAAATCCTACTATGCAACCAAAGAAACTGTAACCAATATATGCAACCAAAAATCCAATGTTCCTTCCTCCTACTGGGCTGGGTGGCCATGACAAAAGTGCACTTCTTTACCGCAATGTTGATGTCGAAACTTATCTTGAACTTCTGGAAGGATACCGGAAACTAGGGAAGATATGGAAACTTAAGAAAGCTATCTATGGTCTCAAACAGTCACCTTGCTTATAGTATAAACAAGCCATCGAAACCCTTAAAGCAATTGACCTAAAGGTTACCAACTTTGACCCATGCATACTCGTTTCAAAACAACTTTTCTGCTGTGTGTATGTTGATGATATACTCATTGCCTGAAAACCCTCACTGGTCAAACAATGTGTTTACAAATTGCAATCCCACTTCCCATGTACAGACTAAGAAAATACATCACTACTACTCAGAATGTAAATCGAAATAACAAGCAATTCAATTCAGCTTTACCAGGAATGATATATTACCCAAATCCTTGAACGTTTCAATATGTCCCAAGCTCAACCGATAGCTACTCTAATTGAAGTCCATTCAATACTCACAAAAGCCAAAGACAATAATGAACTTTACGACCAGCAATAGTATCAATCCATAATAGAATCACTAATGTATGCTGCTGTCACCACCTGACCTGACATTGTACACGCTGTTGCATTTCTAAGTCAGTTCTCATTAAAATGAACAACAACTGGCCTCTCTGCGGCTAAGAGAGTTCTTCGATACCTCAAAGGAACTAAGACTAAAGGATTCCGATACCAATGACGTACGAATGAACTACCATTAAAGTTATTTAGTAATGCCTTGATCCCCTCCAACCTTGATGACAGAGAATCATTTACTGGTCCTATAGTATAGCTATACAGCAATACAGTAATCTGGTGATCGAAGAAACAAAAGACTGTTTCTACCTCAACCACAGAAGCCGAATAGGTCGCACTCGCCTTCGCTTCCTGTCAAAGCATTTGCATAACACACGGTTTGTCACATATGGCAATCAATACAGTACCTATAATATATTGTAACAATACTGCTGTTAAGAATCCTACCAGCACTGGATGGTGGTGACAGGTAACGATTCTTCTCGTGGCGTAAAGGGATAGTTCTTAGGCCTTTACCTACACGATGCAGATAGTCAAGCCCTTAGACTTCTATCTTATACACACCTGTCACCTTATTCTTCTTCTAAGTCCTTGCTTAGGACTTAGTCGCTCAACATGGGATGAGAGATAGTTTTCTCTGTGAGGAAAGACAATTCTTGAGTTTCTTAAGATAAATCTTAAAGAGCATAAAGGTAGACATTATTGATAAACTTAAAAGTAGGAAATAAACGAGAAGAACGTGTGAAGAGCTCATACTCAGGGTCCGAGTGACACTTTATATAGTTGCTCTTCACCTTACGTAACTCATACCTCACGTTACGTGAACCCTATGACTCATAACCATGAGTCATGCGAAATCCCTCAGCTGACTCCTATCAGTTGCTGCGCAACATACCTAAAACTAATCAAAACATAATAACCAAATCAGGTGCGTAACTCGCGTCACCTGAGTGAAACTCATGACTCCTATTCTGAGTCATGTGCAAAAATCATAACATTGTGTGACTCACAATTGTGAGTGACTACCAGGTAAACATAATAGCCTATGGTGCAATAGTGTGCATCATGTGAAATCCCAACCTACCTATAGTGCAGAATCGTGAGCTATGTGAAATATTCCTTGCTTAGTCACAGTTTGTAACAACTGGGGCCATAAAACCTACAGAGAATTCAGGCATTTCTGATCGTACGAAAAATATCGATGTTCAACATCATTATACGAGACAGCTATGGGAAGAGGGGAAGATAAGAATTGTTGCAGTTGGAATGGAAGATAATTTAGCCGATATATGTACAAAGGGATTGTCAAGGATGTTAGTGGAGGAGTTTTCGAAGAGGCTAGGAATGGAATTGTGAGGGAAGTGTTGAAATATGCGGTATCCTATTCCTAACCAGTAATGTGGCTGTGTTGGTCATGTGACACAGTCATATGACCGATGAATGTACTAGTAGATTCTAGCAGGTCCTAGTTATTTCCTTAGTATGGGGCAGTGCTCATGTAATGATAGAAGGATATATATAGGGGTGTGGATTTCCTTCCTGTTAATAGAGCACACAAGCTTGGATTTATCTTACTAGTCTTAAGGATATTTATCTTATCAAGTCTACCATACTTATCACAAGTACCAGTGACTTAGAGGAAAAAATTGAACACTAACAAACCTTGATTTCTATTGATTTCGTTAACTATGGATGCTATCCTTAGGGAAACCGCAGCCTATCATAGGCGGCAAAGGCTCAGGGCACTGAGGGATGGATTAGATTTGGAGGGTGTTTATGGTGCGACTCTAGAGCGAATAAAAGAGCAGGGTGGGAAGAAAACAAGGCTCGGGATGGCAGCACTGATGTGGATCTCTCATTCCAAGCAGTTGGTACAGCTCGATAAGCCTTTCCACGCCCTAGCCGTCGAGATAGGATCTACAGACCCCAATCCCGCAAGGATTCCCACTGTGGCGACACAGCTGTTGCTTAGGGCTTGTTGTCATAGATAGGGATGCTTCGACTGTTCGTTTGATCCACTTCACTCCCCAGGAGTACCTTTACACCTGGCCCAACTCTTTTGGCGCAGGTCATGCGATAAGGGCAAAACCTGCTTCACATACCTCAATTTTCGCCCGATTAAGGAGATCCCACCCACACTATTTGCCCTCCCTCAGTCTACTCCCTTCTTCATATATTCTTCCTTATACTGGGGGGTACACGCTAGGAAAGATGCTTCAAGCGACATAGTATCACTTGAGCTCAAGCCTTTTAGCCGGATTGAAAGCCATATATCTACCAAGTTCCTTTTGGCTGACCTCCTCTTGAAGACCAGTCGATATATTGGTGATATTCCTGTTAACGACCATCTGGTTGGGTTTACTGGCCTGCATTGTGCATTGGTTTTTGGCAGTGTGGAGATTGTAACCCCTTTTATGGGTTAATCAAACCCCGATTTCAACAATACGGATTTTCTCGGTATTACACCGCTCATATGGGCTGCTCTGTGCGGGTAAGAGGAGATAGGAAAGCTGCGATTAGAACAGCATACTATCATCCTCGACGAACCGGATAATTGCTTTCATCGAACAGCACTCTCATGGGCCGCTAGGAAGGGACATGAGGGAATTGTGGGGCTATTTGTTGGCCTGGGATCTGCCAAGCCTGATGGCATAGGCGGTTGGTAGGGTGAGACACCCAGGTGGTGAATATGATTCTTGGAAGGAGATATGTCAACCCCAACAGGCCAGACAAATATGATCAAACGCCATTTGCTGTTGGCAGTTGGCGTGGTTATCGTGTTTTGTTTTATGTTCTATCATGAACTCCGGGCGTATATCCGGTTGCGGCAGGCGTATTTGACTTCCCCGTAGCACAGGCTTCGAGCTAGTGCTACTATGGTTCTAGTTTCTAGTATTCCGAGATAGTGGTTGACGGTTGAGGCGCTGGTTAGACTGTACGATGTGTTTGCTGGTTGAGTTCGAAATGTTTGGGTTAACCGTAGGTCTTCCCCTCTGGCCGATAGGGTTGGGCTCACTATGTTAGTGATTATGAGGAGCTTCAGGGAAGGGCCGAGGAGAGAGATAAACTCGTCAAAAATCTCGAAGCTGTGGAAACGGAATCGATTAAAATGGCCAGGAAGAACCAAATGGGGGAATTAAGTGAGAACGATAGTTCCTCCGCGGAAAAAGCGCAGATTACCGATGCAGCCGTGGCGGAAGAGCAATTGCCTGCGGACCTGGCTTATCTTCTGGGAATCCCCACCAGATCCCCCAAGATCTTCATGATCACACGCGTGACAAGAGACCCAATAAAATCTGTTCGAGGTTTACTAAGGTCGGTCCCATCAGATTTCTCCATGATGGGTTCTACAGACTCGGACACGGCGTGATCGGGGGCCTTAGCGCTATAACTAGGGGTGTAAGGCGGTTGAGTGGTCAGGTGGAAGATCACATACCCAGTGCGGCGTACGGATATCAAGCGGGTGGCGACGATTCGTCGACGAACCTCCTATTGCTGGAAAACAAGCTCCCCAGCAACTTCGGGAAACTGGTGAAGCATGGGAACCCGAAACTGGCCAGGATGAAACACAGAGAAAGAGGGGATCAAAATTTGCTCGCAATGAAGCTGTGTCTAGGGAGAATGGCAACGGCAGTCCTCAACTGACTCGGACCCTACTTACCACTGATAGAGCAATACCGGCGTTGTCAATCCTCACCCTGTGGGAAGTCAGCAGGCAGTAGGCAGCAGTCGATGCACCACCTCGATGGATGTTTTGGAACAAGACCCAAAGTCAGCGACGACCATGAGAATGACGATGATGAAATCCCTTCTACTACAGTTCACCTACATCACTGCATACGACTTGTTCTATGGATTTACCGGCCGAAGGTCCTAGCAAGGAATATCCCAAGGCTTTCAACGAGACATACGCTGACGACAAACACGGAGACCCATTGTGGAAGCAGTACCTTTCATCAAACGATAGGCCCATGATGACTCTGCCCCCTTTTGGTGTGAAATGGTTGCCTTCTCTCCCACTCATTGGGAAGAAGGTGGACACAATCTACTATTGTCGGAAGGAGGTTGCCCGTCTCAATGTCGAGATAGAGCAGGACCAGAGTGCACCAGTACCCACTCATGAACTCTGCTTTTATCCAGTTCAACCGGCAAGTTGCCGCCGCGCATATGGCCTGTCAGTCGCTTTCTCATTCCACCGCACAGCAGATGTGCCCTCGCCACATTGAGGTCTCTCCCGAGGACGTCATCTGGTCCAAAATGAAGATTTCTTGGTGGCAGAGGTATTTGTGCATTGCCGGTATTACTATAGCTACAGGCGGTTTGATCGTTGGATGGGCTTTCCCGGTCGCCATTATTGGTTTGGTTTCTCAGATTGATTATCTCACGGAAACGGTCCCATGGCTGGGGTGGATTAGTAAGCTTCCCAATTTTGTTCTTGGTCTGGTCCAAAGGTCTGCTCCAAAGTGTTTTACCTCCAATGGGTTTGGCAATCTTGGTGGCATTGTTGCCCATTATCCTTAGTGCATTCGCAGAACTTCAGGGAAATCACACTGGTATGGCCATCGCGAGGGCTGTTCAGGAATGTATTTTGCTTTTCTGTTTATTCGGACTTTTCTCATTGTCAATTTCTCATCTGGCATTACCGCCGTTCTCCAGCAATTAACGGATAACTCTGCATCTGCGCCATCAATTTTGGCCCAGAACCTACCGAAGGCGTCCAACCTCTTCTTCTCAGAACCTGCTACTGCAAGCATTCACTGCTAGCGGTGGAGCAATTCTACAAATTGGATCATTACTCGTACAATTCATTCCTAGTCGAATTGTTGACTACCACTCGTCAGGAGTTTACCCCGGCGGCACGGCTTGCGCAGGGGAAATGGGGCACTCTCTTCGCGGTACATCTGGATTCAGGGCGTGTTGGGGTTGTTCACGCGGCCATCTCCCCCTTGGTTCTCATCTTCAATGCCTGCACGTTCAGTCTTTTCTGGATAGTATATCGTTACAATCTTCTCTACGCCAACAACTTTCTCTTCGATACAGGAGGTTTGCTCTTCCCCGGGGCGGTCAACCGGTGGTTTGCGGGAATATATGTTATGGAGGTTTGTTTGATTGGTCTCTTCTCCCTTGTCCGGGATACCAAAGATCGTGTGTTTGCTTTCCTCGAGCAATTATCATGATCGTTGTCACGATCTTTACCGTCCTATACTAATATACTTTGAACTCGGCTTTCGGTCCATTTTTAACCCACTTGCCCATCACTCTGGAGGATGGCGCTGTTCTCCGCGGTGGAGCATTGGCGGAAGATAACGAAAGGCGAATACTGTTGGCTAGCGGGAACATCGTTCCGGAGGAGCAGGAATGCGACGGTCTGAATGAGGTTTTTGCAGAGTGGGAAAAGCGAGAGCGGCGCATGGATCAGCGTGCGGATGAGATTGAAATGAGGAAAATCCGCAACATCCGCGAAAAGAAGGAAGGAAAGTCGTCATTCTCAAGAGGCGGAAGACAGGCCAAGGGGCCAGACGCCAGAGACCCACAAATGAAATCGCGTCCTGCACCGCCAAAGCAACAGCCGCATAATAGACCGGAGCTAATGTTGTTTGGAGACATTTACCGACCAGATTGAAGACTTGTCGCCAGCGGAACGGGACATACTCGTTGGTATAGCATTCCAACACGAGGCTCTCCGGGGCAACGCCCAGTGACCCGGATACCAAGAGATGATCTGGTATTCCTGACGATGTGATCCGGTCCAGGCATAGGTTTAGTGACAATGTCTGGATTAGCAACGAAAATTTTGGTCTGGATCGCAAGGGTGGAGTGGTGTACCGGCGTCCGCCACCAGATTCCAATCAGCGGGATTCGGTGAAGCTAGAATCCAAGCAAGCCACTACCAGTTATTTTGTATTCATTTTTTGCCATCGTTTTGGTTTGCTCTATTTTATTCGATCGGCATTCTGTTTCGCGATGAGTGCAGTATTATGCATATTTTTGACTTGAGTGATGATGGATGACGAAGTTGAGGTTAAGGGAAGAAGGGAAATTTGGGACGTTTCCTTACTTAGTACTATATTGGTATCATAACAACTTATAGGGTTGGCTTTTGTTGTATTGAAGGGATTGCGCTTGCGCTTGTAACACCATTGCCGTGCCCACGATGAAACTGGGCTGACGATGAACGGCAAGGTATTAGGAGGGCAAAAGAGAAATGGTCATAGGAGGGCAACAAAAAATTACTTGTTACTTATCCCTGTTCGTCATTGGCCCAATTTCATTGCAAGTACGGTTAAAGCTATACTAGTACTCGGGGGTCCTTGATGGCGATCTAAGGATTATTTGATGGGACGATAATGTTTCCTGCAAAGGGATACAAAGCTACAAAAATCGAACTCCTTGACTAGCTGCCTCGAAGCGACACCCAATTGAACTAATGAGACCCAAGGTTTAGAAGGAACTTTCATTATATCAATGAATTTATTTAGAATTCGGCTTATTCTGTTGTTATTATTATGTTGTTCTGGGATATTATACCTGGTAGCTTAATTGCTCTTACTTACTACTGTCTGCAAAAAGAGCTCCGGTTTCCCTAGCGACTAGAACAAGAATAATACCCTCGTCGAAGGTGTTGAGTCACTTGATCGCTGAAAAGACTTGAAAATCCGGTTTTTTGACCAAGTTTAGTTAAGTGTTGCCAAATCTGGCCTTTGCACAACTGGCTGGGAAATTGAATATTCCAGGTGGACGAAGGAAGAATGCCGGGACTAAGAGCGATGAATGACATCATCCCGCCCATGGCACCCATCCAACTTTAAAATGTGAGGCTCTTTTCACAAAGACTAACGTGATCCTGCCCAGCGCCCACCATCCCGCGGCTAGGAAGCTTCCTTCAACCTTACCCTCTCAATACCGTTACCTAAAGAAAGACAGAAAACCTTTCAAAAAGAAACAAACGGGTGCTGAACTGTCCACCCATGTCGATTCTGATACCCCTCCAGAAACACTCTCCCGCCGGGACATTCCTGCAGTGGCGGAATTCATCTTCAGCGGGAAGTACGAAAGGATAGTCTTTCTGGTACTATACCCCTCTTTCCCAAAACCCCTCCGCCACATGCTAACATGTCCCATAGTACGGTGCCGGAATCTCCACCCCCGCCGGCATTCAGGACTTTCGAACACCGGGTACGGGCCTCTACTCCAGCCTCCAAACGCTAAACCTCCCTCACCCGGAGGCCGTCTTCGATACAAGCTTCTTCCGCACCAATCCCTAACCTTTCTACACCCTCGCGAATCCCTGCACCCCAGCCAATTCACCCCGACCGTCACACACGCCTTCATATCGCTAACGGCAAAGAAGAACTTGCTTCACAAGTGCTTCACCCAGAACAATAGACATGCTAGAAGGCGCCGCGGGGGTTCCGCCGGATAAGCTCGTTGAAGCCCACGGCTGGTTCGCGGGGCAGTCATGCATAGATTGTCACGCCGAGTACCCGGCCGATAGGATGAAGAAGCACCTTCTCGCCGGAAGTGTGCCCCAGTGCGAGACTTGCACCGGGTTGGTGAAGCCGAATATTGTATTCTTTGGGGAGAGCTTGCCGAGGGAGTTTCACATAGGGCTTAGAATGGTCGAAGAGGCGGACTTAGTGATCATGATGGGGAGCTCATTAAGTGGTTACCCGTTTGCGGTACTTCCCGAACGGGCGAGGGAGGGGGCGGTCAGGGTTTTAATCAACAATGAGAAGGCAGGGGGGATTGGTGGCCGGGCGGGCGGTGTGCATTTGCTAGGCGGGTGCGATCGGGGGGTGAGAAGGGTGGCGGAGGAGCTGGGGTGGACGGAGGAGCCGGAGGAAGTTAGGAGGTCGGTCGGAGGTGGGAGCGATAAGGAGGCGGAAGCTCAGGCCGACAGCAGCGAAGCTACCGACCCGGTAGAAAGCATGGATGTGAAAGTTGGCTGTCTAACTGAAGAGGTTGTGCGTAGCCTATCCGTCGTTGACGGCTGGAAGGACAACGTCATGAAAGACCTTTCCACCTAAGAGACACGGATCGCTAAAATGGTCGAGGCTGACCTTCGCGGGGAGAACGGCGAAGTTAGCCTCGTGGACCAGAAGAAGCTTAGTAGGGAAGCGGCCGACCAACCAACTGGTTCTTCCGAGGGCGGGACTAACCTCGATACCGCCGCTCGGGAGCCGGAGCATCTGGTGGGGAAAGTGGGTAGCGCTGGGGCTGAATGATTTTCCTAAATGTGGGATAGGGAGATGAGGATATTTGAATTGACAATTTTAGCTATTCTTCCTTTTTCGGTCCTCGCGGTATGCTCGTTGGTC